TCTGCGCGCCACTTCCGGGTGACGTCCTAGCTTTTACACTGATTCTATTGCGACTTGTCATGGTTGTTGTGACGGGTTCCTCCATCAGCCGGCCTGTCAACCTGGGCCTGAAGGCTGGTATCGTCCCCATTTTTGCAATTTTTTGCAAGGCAGGTTTGTGCCTCGCAGGGATCGAACTCGTGGCTCAGAGTGAGATTATGAGTCTACACTCTTAACCACTCGGCTATCCCTGCACGTTTAGCGCGGCGTCTAAATTGTTTCCACCAGTTGTTAATGCGGTAAACTACAACACTTTAGGTAAAACGACTGATGCGAACGATTTGACACACTCTTTTCAGTTGCTCCCTTCAACAGCAGGTGGGAAACGGGTTTGGCATCGCGCCAAACGCAGCCGCACTGACACGCCCCATCTTCCGCTGCGAACGAGGACTGTATGATGCCATCTAGAACACACCGTGCGCGCCGCGCTCGAGTTCCCTTATAAGGGCACTTGCGCTTCATGAAGAAAGCGCATGAAGGAAGCGTCGTTCCCTTTTGTGTTCACTCACGACGAGACGTGATACATCTTGAGTTTTTATGGTAACGGTGGTCTAGACAGGAAAAAACAAGTGACTTTTGTTAGTTCGAAAAGTTGAAAAAGAGCGAGAGTTCATCCGAATGTCCAACTTGCTGCTTGCTTCCGGGCCGTTCTCTCTACCAGACTGGAAGCCGTTTCTTGCTGGTTCTGGACGATTCCTTTCGAGTCTTTTTTTCACAGCTTCTTTTTCATTTTTTGAAGCTCAAATTTATGCAGAGGGTAATATAAAATGCCCATTCAACGACGACGCTCCTCCATTTGCTGTCGCATGCGTGTCCAATGCTTGAGAGGAACTGCAAAAAGTCTCATCTAGGGGAGGGCGAGGGAGGAGAGTCGGTGACTTCGTTAGCTTTTTCCTTACTGTCAACTCATTTGAATTTATACTTGGACCCAACTATCCATGACGTCCATTCGCCTTGAGGGGGTGTGAGTGCTCACATAGTTTGTAGTTTGATTGCTGAGTCCTGTAGCGTGCGGGGAACCTACTCGTCCACCTCTCACACTTTGATTGTGCTCACGTTTTTTTATGTGTTCAAAGATGCTCCACGCAGTATTGCCTTATTCGCTCGGACGCAGGGGTGTGTCGAGGGCGGGGGGGGAGGGGTCTGAGTTCTGTGAGGCTCTATTCGGTAGTTCACCAATGAGGATCACTTGTCAGCTCCCGCAATTGGTGGGGAAACAAGCGGGAACGCCAAACCCATGTCCTGCTGACACGCACCCCCGGCGCACCTCAGGGATAACGACTGTTCATCTCATTTCAAACGTCGCAGTCTTTCGTGCAGAGCGACGTCATACAGTTATAATACAACTCTTCCTCTCGGAAAGATTGTAGTAGTCGTTCGAAGAAGACCTACCCCTTCCCCCCCCTCCCCCTTCTCGCTCCATGGCCGAATTTCGGAAAAAAAAAGCTTTGTGGCGCAGGTTGTACTGGAATAGGAAACTCGAGGGAAAAGTTTCACGCAACGAGATGCTTTTGTCCCAAGTTGCCTTGCCACCTATTCGATCTAGGGCTAAAGCAGAGCATAATCCATTTGATGTCTGCGGCCTTTGTAACGAGGCAGTAGAAAGAGAAACAAATGCAGCGAGCACTTGGAGTTGCGTTTATACCCTGCGAAACTGAAGAATTTCTCAATTGGCGGGTCGGAGTACGTGCCAAGTGGAACGTTCATGTATCTCCGAAGAATCAAAAAATGTCATTCGGCGAAGGGAAGGTGCGCGACGGACCAGATGAGATCACGTACCGATCAGGAGCATCAAAGGAGGGCCTATTCTCCAGTTTTCTAGATCAGTACTCAGTTAGTCGATTCTTTTCGAATATCTCAGTTCTTTTCGTATTCTCCAATATGGGCACGTCCTGCCGCTAGCAAATTTTTTGACCTAATCCTATTCTTTTGATGCAAGCCTTCCTCCCTGATGCGACCGCCCTCGCTTCCTCTCCTACCTACCACTTTCCTGGATTTTCCCAACTTCCTACCACACCACTTTCTCCAGTTTTCCGAATTTCCCGAGGACCTTCTAGTTTGTTTCTCCCCAAAATTTTGCTGTCGAGGGGGAAGGGTATGTACACTCTAGTTCGTTGCGGACGGTTGGGCGTGTCAGCCAGTATGAGTGTGCACAGCGTCAAAGCCGTTCTCTGCCTTCTTGTTGAAGCGCGCATGCGACAAAAAGTGGTAGAAAACGAGTAATACGAACGACATGATACAGTCATCCTTGCTCGCTTCAACAACTGGTGGAGAACGAGTTTGGCACCGCGCCAAACGCAGCCGCACTGACACGCCCAACCGTCCGCAGCGAACTACACTATAGCAACCGCGAAAAGTCAACAATCGGAATAAATTTTCCAACTGCTGCGAATCTCTTCCTCTCGAAGACAGCACGACCCTGCTCTCTCTAACAACGAGCAAATATAACTCCCTCCTCCCTGCAGCGATCAAATACCCTTCAGCCCCACCCCGCTTGGGATTCCCCAAAGTAGGAGGTATCTTGTCTCCAGTATACCTAATTTCGTTATTTGTCGTTTCTCTGGTTTTCCGATTTTTTCAATTTTGCAAAATGTGCCGAATGGTAACAGCTATTTCAAAGCTGAGTTAGTGTGTGTGAGCAGGGTAGCATACATACATTTACCACGGAAGAGGCACAACTACAGAGCGATCGGCTGCCCTGAGGAGAATTTCACATCGCCTTGTACGTGTCATAGTGTGCGGGGAGCTCGAATGTAGCCAACGACCAGGACATCTCCACTCCAACTTGTTGGTTCCCCACCCTCTTGGTTTGCTTCAAATGCGACCTCCACCACCTCACCCATCACTGCCACATCATATAACAGGCAGATTTCCGAAAAAAACTTTTGATTGAGTAAATCCACGATTTTCCTGTTCTAATCAGCAGTACCCCCACCTCCGCTCGACACCATTGCATGCATCTAAAAACAAATGCTTAAATGGACGACCTTGATTCTGTTGCCATCAAAGGAAAGATTCACACACTGAGCCTCTAATACTCGGCATTAAAGCGGTAAGAAGTGATAAAAATGTAGCGCAGATGGTATTTCATCTGTTTTATCAGTTGATAAGATTACCTGTCACGCATGAACCATCTTGAAGAGCGACGACGACTGCAACTTCCCTTATCAGCCCCTATCAGTAGTTATCGCTTCCAGTCACCCACGGTTGATGTCCCCATCTCACCCTCTATATCACTTGCTGAGACGTACGCCTCGCTGATGCTGTGACCTGCGCTGTGAATACGATGACCTCACCTTTCTAACGCCCCTTATCGAATCTTATCAGCAGCTTACAGTTCTTGTCATCCACCAATAATGTGATGGCCCATACCATCACCCTATATATAAAGCGCTTCGTCTGTTTGTAAGTTTGTTTGTCTGTCCGGAGAGGTCGGGTCAAGGTAGGGATGGGTAGGGCATGGGACAAGAAATAACCATGGGAAGCCCCGCCCACAGCGGGGGGCACGAAAGTTTGGGGTTCCGCAGAAAAATGTTCATAATTCGCTTCCGGAGCAGCTTAAAGATGGGGAAAAAGGGAATAAGGTTAGTAAGGAGTCGCCAGACTAACTGTGGCAGACACATCCAAAATGGGCGGGGCGTACTCAAGGTGGGCGGTGCTTCTCGCAAAATTTCGGTTCGCGAGTGTTTGGAAGTCGCAAAAAGAAGAATAGTGTAGTGCAGTG